GGTTCAAGTGATTCTCCTGCCTCAGCCTCCTGAGTAGCTGGGATTACAGGCACATGCCACCATGCCCAGCTAATTTTTGTATTTTTAGTAGAGACGGGGTTTCACCATGTTGGTCAGGCTGGTCTCTAACTCTTGACTTCGTGATCTGCCTGCTTCGGCCTCCCGAAGTGTTGGGATTACAGGAGTGAGCCACCGCGCCCAGCCACAAAGCCCAGTTTCTGAATAGCTACATTCAGCGTTGAATCATTATTTCAGCATATTTTGGGGGTGAGAATGGCTTCATTGCCTGTTGATCCCTGTAGTCAAATAAGATCCTGTGCCTAGAAGGACCCCTTGCCTGGCCTAATGCTTTGCTGTCACTGTCTTGAAATTCTTCCTATTTTTTGAGCAAGCAGATCCGCATTTTCATTTTGCACTGGGGCTGGCAACTTACATAGACGGGTCCATCTTGGGATATGAAACATACATCTATGCTACTATTTATAGTATTTCACCTGACCTTACTAGTAACAGAAGCTAACTTATTGAATTATCCTTCTTTTATCCCCTACTGATATAGATAATAAAGAAAATGAGGTGCTGGGTACAGTGGCTCATGCCTGTAATTCCAGCACTTTGGGAGGCCAAGGCGGGTGTATCACCTGAGGTCAGGAGTTCAAGGCCAGCCTGACCAACATGGTGAAACCCCAGCTCCACTAACAATACAAAAAATTAGCCGTGGGTGGTGGTGGGCATCTGTAATCTCAGCTACTCGGGAGGCTGAGGCAGGAGAATCGCTTGAACCTAGGAGGCGGAGGTTGCAGTGAGCTGAGCTTGCCCCATTGCACTCCAGCCTGGGCAACAAAATCAAAACTCCATCTCACAAAAATAATAAATAAATAAATATTTTTAAAAAAGAAAATGAAGTATTCTTACTATAATGTTTCTTTACTAGTTAATAAGCAGCCACTATAGTTATGATTTATGTTGCCTCCTACATTCAAATTACATTATAAATTATTTACTTTTGATGCTGGCAATATTTTTCCCAGAGATTTATCTTCCTTGACAGTTACTTTGTGGATTAATTATTCTGAGGTTCTTCTAAAGCATTTGAGTATAGTTGATTCATAAATTGTTTAAGAAGAAACTCAGTTGGGCATGGTGGGTCATGCCTGTGTAATCCCAGCACTTTGGGAGGCCAAAGCAGGAGGATCGCTTGAGTCTAGGGATTTGAGACCAAATTGGGCAACATAGGGAGACCCTGTCTCTACAAAAAATAAAAAATTAGCCAGGCATGATGGTGTGCACCTGTGGTCCTAGCTACTTGGGAGGCTGCAGTGGGAGGATCACTTGGGCCTGTGAGGTCAGGGCTGCAGTGAACTAGTGAACTGTGATCTTGTCACAAGATCTTGTCACACACACACACACACACACACACACACACACATCTCAAATTATTTTATCATACATAGCCTCCTATTACAGTGTTAGAGATCTAGTTTATAGATTCACTAATAATGACAGGAATAAGCATTCACTTAAAGGCCATTTCCCACAATTCGTTAATATTTAGTGTCTGCTATAATTAAAGTAGGTGATATTAGGTTCTGACATTTAGTGCCTGCTATAATTATGTAAGTAGGTGACATTAGGTTCTGTCAACTCAATTCTGGGTGTCTTATGAGAAAGCTAGATATCAAGAAGCCAAGAAACTCACTTCTCAGGAACAACTACTCTAATTCAAAATTGACTGAGTTCCCACAATGTACCAGTCAGCATGTATACAACCAAAAACTAAGAAAATCCTTTCCTGGGTAGGGTAGGTGGCTCATCCCTGTAATCACAACACTTTCAGAGGCTGAGGTGGGAGAATTACTTAAGCCCAGGAGTTTAAGACCAGCCTAGGGAACATAGTGGGACCTCATCTGCACAAAAAAAATTTAAACAATTAGCCAGGAATGTGCACGCCCGTGATCCCAGCTACTTGGGAGGCTGACGTGGCAGACTTGCTTGAGTCCTGGAGGTTGAGGCTGCAGTGAGCCAAGATCATGCCACTGCACTCCTGCCTGGGTGACAGAGTGCGGCCATGTTTCAAAAGAAGAAAAAAAGAAAATCTCTTCCACAAGTTCCCATTGATTCTGATCTCTTTCTCATCCCTCATGGGTTGCAGGAATTCTCCCAATGCCTTCACAATATAGGCTGTCCGAGTTGCCTGCAAAATGTATGGATGAGAAGAGACTTTCTTGATGTTTCATTTTGAATGTGACAGACTACAGCTTTATCATGTAAGAGAAAGTGAAGTATCAAATAGACTTATAGATCCAACCTCAAAGAAAAACAATAGCTTTGGCAAGAGAAAAAGGAAACATTTTTAGAAAAGTTTACATGACTATTTCTAGTGTTGTATTTATACAACAGGTAAGCAGCCAACTTTAGCTAGGATGGTTGGCTGCCCATGTTGTATGAATTTGATTAGCTATAATGGGGATTGCGTTAGATGTTTCAACTCGCCAGAATGCCACACAAGTCCATATTCTATCTGGCTCTTTCCCTCCTCCACCCTTTAAATAAAATCGAATCAAAGTGGATGGATCCCAAAGCAGCTGATTTACTACAATATGTATTCGATAGGAGGAGCTAGTAAATTAACCTTCCTCAAAGATTTGGAACTCTGCTGTTCCTTCATAGGAAAGAGAACAGCAAGGAATTGTCTCCCAAAATAATGCATACAAACTTCATTCTTCTTCTTTCATCAAAATAATGTTTCCTGTTTTAAAACAAGCATTTTGTTCATGTTGGTACATTTCTAATCGAATTTAGCCAAGTATATCCTCCTGCCAAATTAGCTTTCTAGGAAAGATTACAAGTAGAAGAGGT